GGGGGGGGGGGGGGGGTTATTACTGCACTGAAAGATCTGTTTGTATCGGGGTAGGTTTTACAGCTCCACCGAACTTTTGTCTTTATATTTTAAAACATCACAATATTGCACTGTTGTACTGCTGGTGGTATTGCTGGCCATTAAAAAAAAGTACAAAATTTCCTTACAAATATACATTACAATATTCCTTACAAATAAAACAATAGTCTTTGTAAAATAAATACATGAAATTGAAATATTACTTACATAATTGTGGAGTCTTAGAAGAGAGAAAACTAGATTTAGGTGTCTCCCTCTGTCTGGTCTAAGTCTGGTCTAAGTCTGGTCTGAGAGGAGATGAATTTGACCCAGAGTCACAGGAGAGAACACATTTAGGTGTTACACAAGAGTGGTATAGTGAGCAGTTATTTATCCCAGAACATCGGGAAGTCCACTTCGCAGAGATACTGTAATTGTTTATCTCTGCGGCACTTAATTTATGTTTGCGACACTTTATTTATTATGTACCCTCAAAAACTAATTATATTGCATCTAATAAAGATAGCTCACTTTTAACACTCAATAAATATAATATGTTCTTACTGTAACTAAACAGAAACTAATGAAAATGGTCTTCTTACTGTTACTAAACTGAAACTAATAAAAATGCATAATTATAACATCATATGATAATGTTACATATATTACATACTAATATTATGAGAGAAAACTAGAGTTACGTGGTCCTGACCCCCCTTGGGTTTCTGAAAAATATACCACACCTCTTGAAATTAGAAATCCGACTAGCTGAATCATTGTTCTAAACCGTACCAAAGAGCACCGTTTGCCCTCCAAAATACCTAAAATTTTTCGGGGACTGCTCACTCCAAGGGGGCGATGGTCGGCTTTGCATCCGAGGTCAGTCGGCTCCTTAACTCGAAAGCATCGCGCATTGCGATATCACATAGAGGCTACAATGTATTATATTGGGCGAGCATGGGCGAGTTATGGAATCAAGACGCTTGCGCTCGGTCGCAATGCTAGATGCTTTCTAGTTACGGGCCCAGGAGCCTCAGTTGAAATAATCCTGATCCGCCCCTGTGTATTCATGGAGTTTTTCTCCCACTCTAATTTTTATAAGACAGGCCAACAAGTGCAATCTGCACTTCAGTGAACTAATGAAAAGTATGCCCAGAGATCGCTTTTGCTTAAGAAAGTAGGTCTTTACCTTTAGATCGGAAAGAAAGTTGATCTTTAACTTTAAAGAGGAAATTTTGGTCTATTTCAATCCAACATACCGATGTAGTGAATTAAAATAAAACAAGTAATTGACTAAAACTTTAGCCATTTCTTTTGGGTCATAGTGTATTAATATATAGGTGTGGAGGTGAAGACCAACTTCAGGACTTTAATTGGTACTGTGCGACAGGTGTAACAGGAATGGAAGTCCGCTAGGAACCGTAGTCCTTCCCATTACTTTGTACAGGTAACAGTAGTCCAATATACTAACTGCAATACACCAACTAGCCCTTACATGTACAAATCATATGGGAGCCCGGACTTCCAAGTTTGGGAATTCCATTCCTGTTACACCGGCCCTAGACCCACAGTGAACTGCGCAGTGGTTTTCAGACTTCTGTGCAGAAGCGGTTCTCTAGCAATTTCAGATCCACTCTACGATAATGTATAGCGTATAGAGCAGTACGATGGAAAGTATCTACCACGTAAAGGAGATGAAGGGCTTTTAGAAATTTGTGAGCGTTTACTATTAGAGGAAGCGCGTAGATCTGGTAGCCAATTAATAATGCTGTTGGCCACTCTATTAAGATGGTAATAAGCAGTGCCCAGCTAATATTCGTCATTGCTAACGTGGCACGATGCTTATATTCTTCTCTCTCTCTAATGTCTTCGTCCTGCTCGTTCTGGTCGTTGTTGGTGCCATCCTGTTGAGAAAAATGTTAACTGGTGTTAAAATATCATGTCAGTTTTAGCGTAAACTACATCCTTCAAATTTCTGTCTGATATTCCTGTTTTTACTGTCATTAGTTTTCTAGTGCAAGAAATAAATAATCACAGTAAAATCCACTTTAGATTAATACCTTGGTGCAAGATTTTAACCTCAAACAGTAATGATAAAATCATTCGGATAATCTCCAGAAATTCAAATGATTTGACTGCTCTATATTATCCTTAAACCTTTTTATTGATTACAAAGCCAACATAATGAAACATGCATGACAGTGGCTAATGAATGCAAATAAAGCAATCCTAGTCATATCAGTCACCAATGCATTCAGATAAACAAACTCTTCTCACTTTTTCCAACCAGGCCAATGTCACAAAGCACTCATACAAGCTGTCCAAGTTATTTTCATTGTACCACGAGGCAAGCACAGGGATCAACACCATGATCCAGCCGTGGAGGAAGAAATCGTGGGGCAGCAGAGAATGACCACTCACAAGGGTCGACACTGTTTGCCTGGAAATGCATAAACAATAAGTTTTGTTCTGAAGATCAGTTTATTACATTACAGAGAATATCTCCACAAGCTATGCCGAGATCATCAGGAATAAGAAAATACAGCTCTAACAAACACACAACATACGCGTGCGAGCACGCAGAGAGAGAAAGAGAGATTTCACTTACCCTGTGACAAATACCAAAGCACATCGCATTATGTTCGTAAACAGAGAAATCAATGCAGTCTGAACACTTTTGTCCTTAGCATGACGATAAAAATATCTGTCGATTCTTCTTACGCAGGGCAGCAACAGAACTGTACGAAGCACAACTGCAAAAAAAAAAAAAAAAAAAAAAAAAAAAAAAATATAAATATATATATAAATATATATATATATATAAAAATATAAAAAAAAAATATT